CTCTATCAAACCAATTGCAATTGAAATATCGTAAACAGGGCTGTCGAAAGATACCACAAATTTTATGATAGTTATGGAACTTCGTGTGAACTCTTAGGTGCAACAACTGGAATGTTTTCGAAAATGTCCTTTCCTTAGTTTGGACTCTGGACTTGATAATCTTTACCACAGAACTCGCAAGGTCTGATTAAAACGCTTCCACCTAGCAAAGTAGACCGGTTATTGCTAGGCTAAGGTATGATATTCATAACTGGCTAGTGTGACTTGGCTTGGAACAATCCTATTACCAAATAAATTAATCCGAATAGTAAAATAAAGTAAAGTTTTATGAACCAATGGGATGGATTTTCAGCGCTTTCGACCAGGTACAGTGAAGAAAGCGGTAAATGTTGAAAACTAAACGGTAAGTAAATGAAAAGCAAATGGATGTGATAAAAAGCAAATGTGACAGATAATTTTCTAGGTCAGTAATGATGTCTGTTTGGTTTACTAGGATGCGAGCAAAATAACGGATGACGCTGTCTCAGGCACGCTTCTTTAATTTGGAACGCGTACTGGGATGAGACAGATTTATTGAGATCGGCATGTGAGCATTGTTCGTTTTTTGACAGTTTATTACTGACAAGTCAATCACAGGAATCAAAATGCTTGCGCACAAATGAAAGTAACCAAAACGATCTTCGAATTGTCACTGCAACGAGAAAGAAGTTTGTGAGATTTGTAAAAAGGAATAAAGTCCTTGCTTTTAAAACCGGGGAAAAGTACCGGGAAACAGTTCAACCGCTGTGGACGAATGAAGAATTTCAGATATTTGAAGAGTTATATATGGGAGAACGTCGAGCTGTTTTAAGTGAAAAAGTGTAGAAGGATAATTTACAAAAGACTTTCTTTTTTCAGATCTCTCAAAAATTTATTCCATTGAAGTGGCAATTCCAAGATCGTTTGGTTGATTTCATTGGATGCAAGCATTTTTATTCATCTGATAGATTTGTCAACTATTTGCCGTCAGCCGAACAACAATACAAACATGCCCATTTCAATAAATCTGTTGCAGAACTAATGTCACAACTGACGGAACAAATTTATGAACAGATGCTTCAGTACATGCAGATATATGAGAGATGTCGATGGATTGTTGATCGAATCTCGAGATGTATTCTAATGCCCTATAGTGCTTTCGTGCACAAACACACACAAACACACCGTTTTCTGCTGCTACCTGAGATTGCTCAAACTGACTCGCGTTTATTAGATCGGTTGATTGCTTGCACGAGTTTCATGCACGAATCCCCCCCCCCAATATTAATCACCAGGCTCTTTGCCATATTCAACCACCCCTTGTCGAATTATTTGCCACGAATCTGTATTCTGTATTGCCTACACGCACACTGTGCTCAGATGATGGACACGAGCAAAGAATCGGTCCATAACAGACAGTAGTCGANNNNTAGTCGAAATTCCAGCCATTCTCAATTCCACACACGCTGTTGATGAACTGAACTGCAACAGATACACTCGTCGTTAGTACGAAATATTGATCGCAATACCTAATATATACACGTGTTTATATGTATGTACGCAGGCAACGTTGCCATTTTTGGTCGTGTTTTTTTTCACTTCCAGATATTGGTAGTAGGCCTTTGGTCGAGTTACACTTCCATCAATCTGCTACAGTCCGGATGATCCACATCATCATTACTCGGCATTGCCATCTATCGAAATCTATTTGTTATTCGGTTTGATTAAATTTTACTATATCTTAGNTAGGCAAATAGCCAGCGTTAGACCACTTGGGATAATTAAAAAAAACCGTTGTCGCTATATCACACTCACCATATCAATGAAGATACGAGAGGTTACCAATCGTCAGTTCGTTCGGGATTTCATTCTTATCAATATACGGCTGGCTATCGCGAGGACAGTAATGGGAAACGACGCAATAAATGGAATAACTGATATAGCAATCAAAAACCAAATGATTTTACACCAAATCACCACAGTGCAATGCACGAGTCAATAGACCAGTAACTTGAACCATGATGAAAGCTGTTTGTCCATTTATTTTACAGGTGGAAAAGTGCAACACGTTCAGCAATACTTGTCTGGAGTAATAGACAATGCAATGTCGCTAATCAATTGATCAAAGATGGCTGGGTACCTGAATCAGTTGTTCTCACCAAGTCGTAAGTCTATACAGCTCAGCAGGTCTGCTGTCTGTGATGAATTAGCTTAGAGGGGATTGACGAATGCATACACAACCGTGAGGTGTGCTGGAATAATTACTCACCCGAACCACCTTGTGTCCTTGACGTACTAGTGACACTGTTTCTTTCACATCAATTAATTGTGGATATAAATTATAATTGTATTCATTCGGATCGACACGTAGTGCGTGTTCCATGATACGAGCTCTGTGTGTAATAGACCCATTCGTCAAACGTCCGGGATATAAGATCTTCAACAGTTTATAATATCGTTCCCACCGAGTATCCGAGTGATCTTTGCCGTTCTGTTTTTGAACACATGGCTGGATGGCCAAATGGAACAGTCGTGTTTTGGGGTTTCGAATATCCTCCGTCGAGTGTGGAGGCCAGTGACAAGCTGTGCGTTGTTCTCGATCAGCACGAATGGACTCAGATGCAAATGGTTTAAACAAATAAAGCGAGGTTTTGAGTTTGTCCGAGTAATGAATATTCATCCATTGTTTGAGGAATAGAATGGAGCAAACCACGAGGAGAGTTATTCCACTGATTTTCACGCCTTTCATCCGCTTCATTGTTATTATCCGCCTTGAAACCGTGCTGACAATAAAAACGAATCATGTTTTTGTTTCTATTCCCCATGCATTTGTGAGCACTTGGTGAAAACCAATCAAATTTCGTTTAATAAAACATGAACCTGATTGGTTTGCCGGCCTGTCGTGTGTGTGTGTGTGTGTGTGTGTAGGCAACCTTGTCTGTAAAGTCTAATCCACATTCAGTGGCAGGTGAGTAAATTGGCTTGCAATGAGGGGGCTCGCTGTCATTTATTGTGTAAATGCGCATTGTTGTTTCCTGGAACAGCCTTTCTCTCGGAACCAATTCACAATGAGGATGTATTACGTTCTGTTTGATGTGCACGTGGTTTATCAAAAATGACCCACGATTAACTGTGCCATTTTGCATCAATCATTCCCAGACTTTTCACATCATTTCGGTTCAGAGTACTTGGCAGCCTAGTAACACATGAACTTTTCAGCGTTTCATTTAAAATGCCGTTTCAGTCAAGTTAATTCAAAGTTAGTAGTAGCTTCATGCGCCCCGTTCGCGGAGGGAGGGCGGTTGAAATTTCGATATTTGCACCTACTTATAGATGCAAAAATCGGGCAATTGAGTCCCGAGCGATGTCATTATATATTCGAATGTGTTTTGTGGATCTTGCCAGTAAGCGAAAGCTTTGGCCATCAAACCAAGGAAAATCACTGTGCTGCAGTACACCCAGCGGGTTACCACCCATGCATTCACAAATTTAACAATCAGCTTATGGGAATCATAAACTATTCCTAATCGGACTGAGAAATATGAAGCCTGTCCAGCTTTACATGATACGGTCTGCACGTGCAGAAAGCATGTAAATCTGTCTGATAGAATAACAGCAAGGTATTTTACCATTTTCGATGTCGTCATGGATGGATGTCTGGCAGAAAGGAGGGAGAGCTATTTGTGACGGCTCTCTATGGTTCGTTGACATTTGAAGAAAGGGAATGGGACCGGAACCAGTTTGAAACATTAGTTAACTTGCTTTGTATTTTTAAATCCTCTTCAGGTGGCGGTAGTAACGTCATCAAATTATCACCGCAGAGGACATGTATTCGAATATCGTCACCATCGCTTGATTTTCCCCATGGTGTTTGATGGCAACCTTTTGACTGTCCTTTTACTCCTTCCTGAAAATTTTATCCATATAAATGCAATCAAAGTAAGCAAAAGTGATTAGACGAAAAAAGAAAAACAAATAGGCAGTGCTCCACATTTTAAAACAAGTCGTCGAGATATTCTTATGGGGAAGGAATAAAAAACTGTTTCAGATGATGTGAGGAAGAAAAAGGGAAAAATCGCACGACGCAGAACACTAGAAGAAAGTGTGCGACTGGAAGATTTTATTCAGCTTAAGTTCATGAAATAGACCTGCAATTTAATCTCGGATCAACCTGCACTCGTTCTGGTTAATACCCTTTCTGTGAGGCAATATCAATCGATCATGACTACTAAATGCACTTTTCTAATTTGAACGCATCATTCTGACGGTTTTACACTTCTTTTTCAGAGCTGAAATGCTCGATACAACATCATCACCAAACGCATCAAATTGGAGTGCGTACAGCGATATGCAAATGGATGTATCTCACCTTCGGTAGATCCCATGACAACGCACTGCTGAAGCAGATTTGGTTATCGAAATGATATATGATTCTGACAATAACTTAATTTTACCAGCTCCTCTCCGAGGAGCACTATATCCGTCGAGTACGAATACGTTTCTACAGATTTACTCAAAAGATACCTCAGATACGGAATGCGAAAGATTTATAAATTTTTTAATCAACCCTTCACGGGAAAAGATAAGATGAGAGTGATAGTGGTGACGACATCAGTTAACTAATTTCTAAGCGTATGTAGTCGGTCGTTATGTCCCTTAGCTACGTAGCCTCACCCATCGTTGTTTTTACATCCATTCGGTTAATAACACTGTCAATAGCAACCAAGATAATTAGGAGCACTGTATGCACATGCTCCGTTGAAGGAAATTATTCCATGGATGAGTAAAGCGTGCTTCAACCCATTTAAAAGGATTAGGCACGAAGTGCAGCGAATCATCAGGTCCCAGCTACTACAGAAGCCGTCAGTAATCAGGTCAACAATGCACTTTTCAATTCGGAGTCTGCTGTGAACCATTTTAACAGCAATGTGTGGCCCCCTACGGTTTATTCCCAGGTACATCGTTATATATATATTAGGATTCATGATTTCTAATAGCCAGATTGCGATCCATGGGACTACTCACACTTTTGTAACAAGACAAACAAACAAGTTACCGAGCTGATGACACCCCTGCTGTGCACAGTCGAAGTCCGCTAGATATTCTGAAGATTCTTATGTGATTGTTGTGGCATTGGTTCTCGTTCTAGTTGGGAAAGCGTCACGATGCTCGTTGTAGGCGACCCATCTAATCAATAGGGGATAGAACCCAATGGCTATTCAAAATTGATCAAACAAGTAAAGGAATGCCTGGGTCCGTTCACTTGGCCGCATAAGATCACAGGTTACAAAGTCGAACTTTAAAAAATCAATACAGCGTGAATGGCTATGCTCACAATTTACATTTAGATTTACAATTAAGCATTTGTTGAGTTTTAATACAACTGTGAAACAGGTGTTTTGTTTCCCTCTCCATCAAACACGAGGTTCGCCTGATGGTAGTATTGTTTGCCTAAGGTTTGAATGTCTAACGTCTCGATTATCAAATGTTTATTTGAATTCATTGAGAAACTCTCAATAGTTACGCATATTTGTCTTGGTGATTGTTCTTTCAATCTTCCCACAGTTGTTCAATTATTTTCCGACAAATTTCAGTTTTATTCAGAATTCCGGTTCACAATTACAAACATATTCCGGTTGCCAACTTGGTGTCCACTACCAATTTTAAGTTACACCGAAGGTAGTGCATATACAACCGTGAGCATGTGGTTCACAGAAGGCTGCCATTGAAACGAGGATTTAAGGAAAAAATGAAAATCGTATGACTACTGTGTATTGACAAATGATTTTATGACATGAAAAATTACTAAGTTATAATTAGTTTCGTTACAGAAACAAAAAGTTCTGGCACGAAATGTCTGCCTTTGGTGAGAATACAATTTCACCATGGTGGTTTGGAGCACCAGGAAACGACATCCACCCCCAAATGAGCTGTACTCAATTAATCGTTCTTGCGATGAACCTGAACTCAGAAGGATAAGTTCTAGAATCTTCCGCTTTTAATGTCCTATGTGAATTCTGGTTACCACGACCAAACACAACGATGCGAGTGAAACCATGCCTGGCAGTTGCAATGCACATACGCTTGTTCGCTTGAGGTCACGATCGTTTGAGTGACCCTACTGGGTCGTCTAGCTGATCTTGTGAGTCATGCCCGGAATGCGAACTGGTTTATCTGCCGATACGTACCTACATGTAAAGTATTGTTACGTGACTGCAAATTGTTATACATTCCTCATTCTGTGTGCCACACACCCTTGGGTGGAACGCTTCCGAGCACCAGATAAATTTCAGTAACACTTCCAATATCTAAAACGGTCAAACTGTAGTGAGAACCAGGAAGATTAGGCCACGTTTCGCACACCTGAAGTTTTGTTGGTTCCAAAGAAAATCAACTGGAGAGACTCATTGTTCTATCCCGAGAGCTAATTCGGTAGAACTCTGCATTTCCTTAAATGTGTGCTGTTCACATGGAACCAGCCCGGATACTGGGCTCTAAAATTTGAAACATTTTAGCCACTAACGGCGTGCTCCAACTGTCTGGTGTTTTGGGGACGTAAGTAGGTGATTCCTCTTTTTTGTCCATATATCAGAGCATTTCACGTTCGAGAGATCATTTATTATGTAATGCTAACAAACCACGGGTACCACTGAAAGACCCCGAAGGTAACGTGCAGTTGCTGAACGTTTACAGAAATGAAACAATCGATCGGTTTATTTATTTACTCAAGCACTTGGAATGAAAGGAGATTCAGGAAATGAATTTACAAGTTGCTTTAACCTAAGAATATACAATTAGCACAGCATAGAAACTGATAAACGGTGGTTCCACAAGCAATTGTTTACATTCGCCTGACTATACCAGTTTGGTGCGTAGTTGTTCTATAAGGATAAGCGTTTTCAGAAATCCCCTGAACCTTATCGTTGCAGCACATGGATTTTTGTCTAACAAGCCGTGGAATTTTCGCACTGTAACACCCCCTACCCACGGAGGATGGAATACAAAGGAACCAAGTTTGAAAGAGGCGTTCCTGTTTCTCGGTCACCTTCGACGTAACACAAGAGCTCTGCAATGCTTTGTCGTCCATTGAAATTAGGCGCGCAAGTTCGAGGCTGAATCAGTTCAAAACCTCAGTGTATTATTCATATCTCCAATCACCTCATTGACTGGTTACCTTGTGATCCCACTGTCAAAAATCGATCGGGGATCCAAGTTTGGTCTCCCCCGTGAAAATCAAACGTGTACTACAGATAATTCTTGGCATGACTCTCGGGTCGCTGCTCCGGGACCCAGAGTGTACATCAATTTGAAGCAGGATCTAATAGTATTATTCATTCGTCCCACCATAGTATATGACATCGAATACTGCAAATGCCGATACAAAGAAATCGTAAAATCATCAAAGCGAAGGCTTGTGAAAGCAGGTACCATTGCGGTTAAGCGCTTCCGTAATCCAGTCCGTGATAGCTGATCCTAGATTCGTGTCCTGTGATTCCTACTGCGTGGTTCGTGTTCCAAATTCCGTGCGTACTACTACTACTACTACTACTACTACTACTACTACTACTACTACTACTACTTTGTGAGATCTTCACATTCCTTAATGTTACTTATATTTATATAATTCGTGTAAGCCTTGCATGTTTACAGTTCAGTTGACAACATTCGTGAGTAACAAGCAAACGTTAGTGTTGGCCGAGGATGATACAGAGCTTTGGTAGGAAGGGTGAAAATAAGTGTAGATTGCAATCCAACTGG